GGACTTCAACTCCCAGAATTCCTGAGCCAGCATGAGGGAACTATGGCCCCCTCATGACTGGTGGACTTCAACTCCCAGAATTCCTGAGCCAGCATGAGGGAACTATGGCCCCTTCATGACTTGCGGACTTCAACTCCCAGAATTCCTGAGCCAGCATGAGGGAACTATGGCCCCCTCATGACTTGTGGACTTCAACTCCCAGAATTCCTGAGCCAGCATGAGAGAACTATGTCCCCTTCATGACTCGCGGACTTCAACTCCCAGAATTCCTGAGCCAGCATGGGGGAACTATGTCCCCTTCATGACTCGCGGACTTCAACTCCCAGAATTCCTGAGCCAGCATGGGGGAACTATGGCCCCTTCATGACTTGCGGACTTCAACTCCCAGAATTCCTGAGCCAGCATGGGGGAACTATGGCCCCCTCATGACTGGTGGACTTCAACTCCCAGAATTCCTGAGCCAGCATGAGAGAACTATGGCCCCCTCATGACTGGTGGACTTCAACTCCCAGAATTCCTGAGCCAGCATGGGGGAACTATGGCCCCTTCATGACTTGTGGACTTCAACTCCCAGAATTCCTGAGCCAGCCTGGCTCAGCTTGGAAACCTCTCCCTGTCCCCTCAGCATGGCTGGCTCAGGAATTCTGGGAGTTGAAGTCCACTAGTCATAAAAGAGCCAAGGTTGCCTACCCCTGATCTAAGGACCAGGTTACTAACTTATCCACTGCAGTGATTCACTGAACAACCTGGGGCGAGGAAGGTCGTAAAATGGGGCAAGCCTCGCTTAATGAACGTCTCGCTTAGCGACGGAAGTTTCGGCTCGGCTGGGATTGTAAATCGGGGACTTCCCTGTATGCTCAGCGTCGCAACCCTGAGGACTTCAGCTCCCAGAATTCTTCAGCCAGCCCTGTCACCCTCTCAGTGATCTCCTTTCTCCTCTCCCGTTCCCCAAATCCTAGGAAGGGATCCCCGAGGAAACCGATGACTTTGGGGAGTTCCGGATGAGAGTGTCGGACCTCGTCAAGGACCTGATCTTCTTGGTCGGCTCCGTGGAGTGCTTTGCCCAGGTGAGGATCTTGAAGGGAAAGGGGACCACTGTGAGATTCATCTCGTGTGCCCACTGTTAGCCCTGCTAGCTTGATGGAGAGCCTGTTTTGGTTTGTATTGATTTTTATTCCACCTTTATTACGATGTATGTAAGTCAAGGCAGCAAACGTATGTAATCTTCCTTCCGACTCCCTATTTTCCCCACAACGACCCTGTGAGGTGGGTTGGACTGAGAGAGAGGGATTGGGCCAAAGTTGGCTTTCATGCCTAAGGCAGAACTAGAACTCACCGTCTCCTGGCGATTGGCCCAAAGTCACCCAGGCTGCTTTCATGCCCAAGGCGGGACTAGAACTCACCGTCTCCTGGCGATTGGCCCAAAGTCACCCAGCCGTCTTTCATGCCTAAGGCAGGACTAGAACTCACCGTCTCCTGGCGATTGGCCCAAAGTCACCCAGTTGGCTTTCATAGCTAAGGCAGGACTCCCCGTCTCCTGGTGATTGGCCCAAAGTCACCCAGTTGGCTTTCATGCCTAAGGCAGAACTAGAACTCACCGTCTCCTGGTGATTGGCCCAAAGTCACCCAGTTGGCTTTCATGCCTAAGGCGGGTCTAGAACTCACCGTCTCCTGGCGATTGGCCCAAAGTCACCCAGCCGGATTTCCTGCTTAAGATGGGAGACTCTGGCATGGTGGGGCTTTTCTCAGAGTTGAAAATTGCTTGGTTATGTCATATTCCTCCTCCTCCTCCTCCTCCTCCTCCCTCCATTTCTTCTTGCAGCTTTACGCCACTTTGAAAGAAGGCAACCCGCCCTGGGAGGTGACGGAGGCCGTGCTCTTCATCATGGCTTCAATAGCCAAGAGTGTTGACCAGTGAGTAGTGGGGGGGGGGAGGGGAGAGCCATCCCAGAGTTCTGGTGTGAGTGTTCGGGTCTCCTAGTGTACAATGAATCGTGTAAATTGGACTCAGAATGTGTCTCTCCCTCTCCCTGACTCTTTTTTCCACCTGACTGGAAAGGGCCTGGCTTCCTATAACAATAACAGTAGAAGAGTTGGAAGGGACCTTGGAGGTCTTCTAGTCCAGCCCCCTGCTGAAGCAGGAGATCCTGTAGTATTCCAGACAAATGGCTGTCCAGTCCCTTCTTAAAAGCCTCCTTTAGTCAGGAGGAAGTTGCTAGCTTGCCCCCTTTTACATATTTTTATTTATTTACATACATTAATTTTTCTATTTATTTATTTATTCATTTGTTCCAACCATTATTATGTATATAAATAGAATAGAATAGAATATACAATATATATAGAATATAAAATAGAATAGAACAGAATGGAATATAGAATAGACTACACTACATACACTACAATAGAATAGAGTAGAGTAGAATAGAATAGAATAGGGAATAGGACAGAATAAGGAATAGAATAGAATAGAATAGAATAGAATAGAATAGAAATACAGAATAGAATAGAATAGGGAATAGGACAGAATAAGGAATAGAATAGAATAGAATAGAATAGAATAGAAATACAGAATAGAATAGAATAGAATAGAATAGAATAAGGAATAGGACAATAATAGAACAGAACAGAATAGGGAATAGGACAGAATAAGGAATAGGACAGAAGAATAGAATAGAATAGAAATACAGAATAGAGTAGAATAGAATATACAATATATATATAGAATATAAAAGAATAGAACAGAATGGAATATAGAATAGACTATACTAGAATAGACTACACTACACTACACTAGAATAGAATAGAAAATGTCTCTTCCCCACGGATCCGGCCCCTAGAATCCGGATGGCTTCCCGCGGGAGGGAGGAAAAGTGTGTGTGTGTGTGTGTGTGCTTTATAAGCCAGGGGGTCCCCTAAATCGCTCAAGAGCCCAGGGACCCACTGAGGGTCCCCGTAGTCCATGACGTGTTTTTGAGGGCTGAATTGTCCTGCTTCGCTCCCCCCCAGAGAGAATAACCCCACCCTGGTGGAAGTGCTGGACGGAGTGGTGCGCCTCCCCGAAGCTGTGCACACGGCGGTGCGCTACACAAGCATCGAGCTGGTTGGGGAGATGAGCGAAGTGGTGGACAGGAACCCCCATTTCCTGGGTGAGTGGGGAGAGAGAGGGGAGGCGAGCCTGTAGCTCGGTCAGCGCAGGCAGGAGCCCCAAGGCAGCCCCCCAAGGACCCTCCGGATGAGGGGATTGTCCACCTCCCTTTGTAGGTCGTGGGGGCCCTGTCCCTGAGAGTTTGTCATTCTGACTGGGCCCCTGTGGGTGGGTGGGAGGGAGGGAGGAATGGAAGGGAAGGAGGGAGGAATGGAAAGAAGAAAAGATGGAGGAAGGAAGGGATGGATGGATGGATGGATGGATGGAAGAATAGAAGGAAGAAAGGATGGACGGATGGATGGAAGGATGGAAGATGGATAGGTGAGTGGAAGGAAGGATAGGGAGGAAGGATGAAGTATGGATGGATGGATGATGGATGGATGGATGGAAGAATAGAAGGAAGGAAGGAAAGACGGATGCAAGAATGGAAGGAAGAAAA